GCCCCTGTGCTTTCCCTGAGGAATGCACTCACCCTACGCAAAGCTCCCTCTGACACACCTTGCCCACAGGTTTGTGCAGGTTTCGGAGTGTGGGGAGGGGAAATGGACAAGACACTGCTAATCTGCAGCCCCTTCAGCAAGGAACATGAAGAGTACCTCTAGAAGGAGAGGGTGAGTATTTCCCTCCATGGGAGGGTAGGGGGGGAGGTCAAGCTCCTCCCACCCACGGCCATCATTCCAAAGCCCTGTGACTCCTCCAGGCCTGCTGGGCAGAGTCCAGCTTGTCATCTCAGCTCTGATTTCCTGGGGTCCCACAAGTGCTCCAGAATGTAGAATGCTCTGGAAAGTCACCTTGTTCTTGTTTCTCAAAGGAGTGGATCTGAGGCCTCCCCATGCAGCCACCGTCAGTTAACCCTCACACTTCAGCCTGGGGTGGGGGGTGACCTTTCTTTCGGTTGGCATGAGTAGAATCTGTTCTCCTAGTAACTGAGGACTTCGGGCAAATGGCTCTGCCATGGGAGCATACACAATGCAGAAACCCAGGGAGGAGTCAGGAGCACTGGGAGGGGGCTGAGTGTCCTGGGAAGACTCTGGAGTCCTCATTCAGTTGTTGGAAATATACTTAGCTAAGCCTCTAGAGTCCCAGAGAACAAATCCCAGGACCAACAGTTTGAACCATGCCTGGATAACTCAAGCCCTAGAGAGAGTGGACCAGTCCTGATGACCAGGGTGGGTGCCTCCATCAGAGGTGAAGTATCCACAGCTGCCAATCAATTTTCTCTTCTAGCCTAGACCCCAGGCTGGGATCTTTCCTTATAAGGTAAATACTTCCTCCAGCATGCTCTGGGTACCTAGTAAAGTCAGAAATTACACCTCTTCCAGGGCCCAGAAAGACGCTAAGCTAGTGAAATGCCTGTCACAGCAGCCTGAGAGCACAGGTTTGGATTCCCAGTTTCTGTATAAAAAGCTGCATGTGGTGATGCCTGTCTGCAGTCCTGGTGCTGAGGAGGCAGTCAAGCTCTCTGGAACCCACTGGCCGGCCAGCTACTCTAGCTGAATCAGTGGGCTATGTGTTAGGTGAGTAGAAGACCCTATCGCATGAAGTAAGATGGAGAGCCACAGAAGAAGTCACCTGACACCTCTGGCCTCCAGACATACACGTATGTATGCAACACACACACACACACACACACGCACACGCACACGCACACGCACACGCACACGCACACGCACACACACACACACACACACACACACACACACACCTAGAGACACTGTGTTGTTTTGCTTTGCATCAGGATGCACCATGGCCTTGATCAGCTTTCCTGATCCCCGAAAAGCCCTGTACTTCCTTGCTCCCCGGCCCACTCACCAATCCAATGGTGGCCCTCAAGAGTGGGGTCAGCTTCAGTCTTGGAGCAGATCTTGGCAAACACTGGGAGCTGCCTTTTCGGAGGACAGAACTCAGAGAGCTTGTCAGCGGGTGCGGAAGGGGGCGGTGGCAGCAGCAGCAGGAATGGACCCAGCCCCATGGGCTCCCGGGGTCCGGAGCCATTGAACATGCTATTCTGCAGGAAATCCTTAATGACCTTGGTCTCTTCCAGCACCATCTTGTTGTCGGGGGCCTTGGACATTTCGGTAGACTTCAGCGGGAACTGGGCCAGGAGCTTGCTGATCTCTGAATTAGAGGCACCCAGGTTGTGGCTCTTGTCTTTAGATCCCTTGACGCTCTTGATCTTGGCGGCATGCAGGATGCCCGTGACTGTAGACATGGCCGAATCACAGTCCTGTCTGCTACTGATGATGGGCATGGACAGCTTCTGCTCCTGAAGCTTGTCACCAGCCGTTATAGGGGATCCTGGGTATTCAGTGCTGTCTGTCCCCAGAGGAGGCACAAGAAAGCAAGAAGCTAGCTCTCGGGTCCCCTGGGAAGTGACAATAGGTGTTGCCAGCTCCCCGGAGCTCTCCTGAACCAAGATGAGATGTTCTTTGGTGAGACTCAAGAACTCCTGCTCCACCAGCAGGGAGATCTCATCCTTGCCACTGCTCAGCTCCAGAGCTCTGCAAAAGGTTCAAAGACACGGGGGACTTAGTACAGCAGGAGGCAGGCCTCGGGAAAAGAAGGTGGGTTCACAGCCTGTTGAAAACGTGTTTCCTAATGAGAAAAACCTGTTGCTTTCTCCAGAGGGAAAAATGGGCCAGGTGGACACAAAGCCAACATCACCCACTAGGCTATGGTGCTGAAGATGTCTGTCCCCTCCTCCTTAGGCCCCAAGACAACAAACAGCAGAGAGACAGTGCACTGGGGAAATTTGCCCAGCAACAAAGGGGCTGGCTATGACTAAGCTGTTCAATGAATAAAATCCAGAGCCTGAAGAAGTCTCCAGGAATATAATACAGCCAGTCCCCTCTTGGAGGATGGCAGAGTGTACAGTAAGGTTCACACCTGCCTCTGTCACTTTTAATCTGTGTGACCCTGAGCAAGTGGGTCAGCATCTCAGATACTCTGATATCCTAGTGTGATTCCCAGGAATATCACAGAGGGGTGTTTTAACAGTGCAGGCACCCTGTCACAAGGGTCATACACCTGTCAGCTCTTAATGTCTGCATGGCTCAGGCTCAGTCTGACCGGACCCTGAACCCTGCGTTCCACAGTGTGACCATCTGGATATCTGTATCTACCCTTGCTGTCGTGGTCTCTGACAGGGTCATGGCATCTGAACTGGAATATTATTGTGGATGACAGCAGCACTTGGTCGGACCTTGAACAGGTTCATAAGACTCTCCCTGTCGCCTGTCTCCTACCCCCCTGTCCCTGATGACCATTAATGATCTAGACTCCATCAGCCTGATGGTGCTTGGTGAGCCGATGAAGTCCTAGCTCCTGGTTACTGGTTCTCCTCGGGTGAGGGAGAAAGTGATAAGCCTGCCCTCCCAACTACCCAGCAGCAACCTTGGTGAGGGGGCACCTTCCTCCACTGCATTCCCAGGGGAGCCAGGGTCCCCCAGTTTAGAAGTACCTACTATGCATACGTGAAAGGGTTTCTGGGAGGGGTAGGTAGCATTGCCAGTGCCTGGAACATCCTGGAAACTTGCTCAGCAGCCTCTCGTGGCACACAAAGAAGAAAGATGGTTAAGAGGCAGAGGGAAAACGTAGAAGGGATGCAGGAATGGGGCTCAGCTGCTGCAGCTTCACCGTGGGTAAACCAGAGTCACTTTGAATCTGTGTGACCCTGTCTGTCTGTCTGTCTGTCTGACAACCCACTACCCACTAAGAGGGCACAAGAATACCCAAAACAGTGTTCAGGGGGTGTCCCTGCTTTCCTGGTAGTGCTGTTGGCTTGTGAACACACACACACATGCTCTCTCTCTCTCTCTCTCTCTCTCTCTCTCTCTCTCTCTCTCTCACACACACACACACACACACACACACACACACACACACACACACACACCTCGATGCACACAGACGTGCACAGAAACAGGTGGCCTCACACTTCACTCAGAAGCAGGGGTGGGGGCAGAGCCTGCCTTTGACAGTCCACAGGGGAAGACCCACTTCCTACTCTCAATTTCTCTTTCCTTCACACTCTCCTCTCCCTCTCCCTGGCCCTCTCGAATACCCCCTTCCCTTTGCCTCCTTCCCATGTCTAGACTTAGGGCTATAAATAGGCCCTACTCTCACCGCGTGCCCCTGGAACAATCAGAGTAAAGAGGACGCCCCAAGTTTCCGTTCCTCCTCCTCCTCCTTTCAAGGAATCCGGTGAGTCTCAAGTCCTAGGAACCAGTCACTTGAAGGACCAGTTTTTGCTCTCCCTACCCCACCCCCACCACTGCCTTGCAAAGCCAAATGCCAATAGCTTTTATGAATTAGCCTCACCCCAAGGATGCTTACTTTTTTAACACTGTGAGCATGGCCTTGTGGGCACACTTAAACAACAAAGAAAAGCAGCCCTTGTCTCTCAGATCAGAGCTACATGCTAAATATGTATAGATCAGTTATGTCTGGGGTTTCCTTT